TAATTCACAACAAACCACACACATGCTCACCCCAACTGTCCATCTCTATCTCTGTCTGCAATTCAATTACATTCCATTGTTGCCATCACTTCTTATATACATGAATAGCACATATCTAGTAAATACTCGAGCATTCACGAACCTTCGAGAATATGACGTGTTACTAGCGTCACGTGACCCCCGCTGTCGTAACAATATTTTAGGCCTATTGATTTTTAATGCTTCATTAGCTTTCTGCATTCAAATCATAACTTTTTAAAAATGTAAGTATTGTTTCCATGTAAAATTATTTCATTAGATCATTATTATAAATGAAAAATAACAAAAAACTGACAGTTGCATTGTTAACAGCTTTTGAAGCTTACCAGCAATGAAATGTACAGAACAGACTCTAATGTAGGTTTAACTATTCTTTAATAACACAGGCCTGCAATAGTTTTATTGTCCTGAAATTTTTATATGTTCTACAGTAATTCCTGTACCCTGAATCAGAAAATGATATCCATTTTTCTCCATCACATACAGATTTTTCACAAACCGTATAATGCAATACGTACAAGAAAGACCACAACACGTAGTTTTGAGACTAAAAGACGTAGATTTTACATCAACAAAAATCAGGATAAATGAAGATGCATATTCGTTTGACATCATTGTTCCTTCCTTTTCTTCAGTTTCTTTGTATTTTTGTTAACAAACATAATAATATAAAATATTCATTGTGGTAAACGAAATAATAATTTTATCTAAATAAGAGTTTTTTTCTCTTCCCGGTTCCTAAGGAATCCTTACGTGATAGAAAAAAAAAATATTATTGTCGAAATCTGCGTAGCTGAATTCTGGAAAATTTGTTATTAAAACCCAAACTACTTTTATAAACTTTAATTTCGCACGCCTGTGTAATCAGCTATGGCGATGTGTAGGCACTTGTCTCGTCGATAACTGACCTGTTTAATAACTGATCTGTTTTCTTTCCTTGAGACCTCATCAGTTTAAGGAAGCGAAAAAAATGACTTTTCTTCATCCCTCTCACCTCTTTTTGAACAATTTACTACTGCACAAAAGGTAAGCATTATGTAATTGTTGTTATATCAATAAAACTATTTTAATTAATGCTGGTCTCAACCGATGAGTAACTGGGAGATATTGTCTGTCATCCAAGATGACCAACAGAAAATTGTGACGTCAAGTGTAAACCTCTATACTATTAATTATTTAGAAAGCTGTTGTTTCGGATATTGATCAATATTGCAATCTGTTTTGCTTTCTGTAGGAAATTTCACCTGTCTCGAAGTCATTTTCACGTTGAAACGGAGATTAGGATATTACTTGTTCCATACCTATGTACCCACATGTCTTATTGTCATTATGTCCTGGATCTCATTTTGGATCAAACCGGAAGCTGTGCCTGCAAGAGTGACCCTTGGAGTGACCAGTCTACTCACACTATCCACCCAACACGCTAAAAGCCAGGCTTCTTTGCCACCCGTATCCTACACTAAGGCTGTTGACTTATTCATGGGCGGTTGCACCGTGTTTGTGTTCCTTTCTCTGATGGAATACGCCGTCGTCAACGTATTTCTAGAAGAATCAGACAAATCAGACAAACGAGGAGAGCGGGTAGCTATAAAATTTAATTATCAAAGAAGCTCCTATAATTGACCAACTTATGTCTATATTTTAGTTTACAAACATAATTAATTTTTTTCTGGACTGTTAATCGGTAAACATTTGGCTGTGGCTCTCAGAAGATATATGAACTAATGTACAAACATTTTTCTTATGTTCATTTAATGCAAGGAAAACTAACTGCCACGAATTAATACTTTCATATTTCAACCTTTACGAAGACTGACTATTTCAAGATTGTTGGTTTAACGAAAAAGAGAAAATATACTTAATTTTGTGTTAAAAATATTAATTTTGACAAATTGAACTTTCCCTATGCTTTCAAATTATGACCACTTAGAAAGGAAATGCTTAAATATAAAAACTGTATTGGATGATATTACTGGTAAATGTGGAATTAACATTATTCAACTAAAGTGGGACTATTCGCGTCGAAAATATTTCAAAAAATGAATTATTACAATTCAACATGAAGTTAAAAAACAAATCCTCAGAGAAAATATATCCAACAGCATTTTAACTATCTCATTTTAACTGAGATAGTCCTCAGATAATCCAGAATCTACTTATATAAAGTTTGTTTGTTTGCATTTAATTAAGCACAAAGCTACACAATGGGCTATCTGTGCTCTGCCCACCACGGGTATCGAAACCCGGATTCTAGCATTGTAAGTCCACAGACATACCGCTGTGCCACTGGGGGCCTTATATAAAGTAGTAATAAACTATATGGTAAAGTTATGAAAATTATAGTTTAATATATCGAAAAAAGAATATTGCACAAAAGGAAATTTCACGAAAGAACGGTTGAAACATAAGCTTATTATATCATTCTTCGTGCATTTTTTGAAATAAGATTATGTACTGCTGACAGTTGATTGTTACTTTGTCAGGATATCAGCTGTAGTTCAACCGGAAAAGCCCCATTCTCTTATAGCAGTAGTTTACAGTCATGCGAGAAGAATGTCAGTAGTGAGGAAAACGCCCCTTCTGGTTTGACTATAGAGTTATTCTCATATATAAATTACTAAATTCGTGGCTTTCTCCCTTTCCATAATACGGACACGGGTTGGCCCTGTCGTAGAGCTTTGGATTTCGGAAAGAACGAGTCGGTTTCGAATCCGTGCGATACGGCAAAATATTCCCAGCACTTTAAGCTGTGGGCTTTTTTTTTCTTTAAGAGTGACAGTCAACCTCTTAGCGTAGATGGTGAGCGGTAGAGATTTACTGACTGGCTGCCTCTCTACCAGTAGTTCAAAAGTAAGGACTGCAGCATATAGCTGAGGAGTTTTGCCAAACATACAAAATACAAATATCTCTTTAACATGTTCGATGTGTTCTTACACGTCCAGTTAACTACATATACATTAAAGATCCTAAATTTATGTTAACCCGTTTGCTTGATGCTGCTGAGTTAACTCAGTAAAACATAAAAAATAAACTAGTTATAACCATGATTTCGTTGTTATAATGGGCTATCTGCGCTCCGTCTACCACACCCGGGAGGAGGGGGGGGGGATGTTGATTTTTGCGCTTTAAGTCCGTATACTTATTGGTGAATTTGGCGTGTATTTACCCTTCTAAAATCCTTGATATCTTTTATTACGTGATAAGAAATCTAGTTGCATATCTCCCCGTCACACCAAACATGTTCGCCCTTTCAGCCGTGGGGGCGTTATAATGTGACGGTCAATCCCACTATTCGTTGGTAAAAAGAGTAGCCCAAGAGTTGGCGGTGGGTGGTGATGACTAGCTGCCTTCCCTCTAGTCTTACACCGCTAAATTAGGGACGGCTAGCGCAGATAGCCCTCGTGTAGCTTTGCGCGAAATTCAAAAACAAACAAATAAACAAACTAGTTGCATATCAGCCTGGGATGCACACTAAGGAAAACGTAGAGAGAGATGTTGGAAAAGTATAACAGCCAACGACGGGACACAAATCCCATATTATGGCCAATCTGTGCTCCGCCCACCGATGATGTCAAAACCCGATTTTTAGCGTTATAAGCACTGAGTCTCCGGGAGCAAGTCAATACAAGAGATGCTATTAAGTAGAAATGAATGTCCATTTATCTTTAAATAATTTAAAGTGCATAACTAAGATTTAAACAAACCGGAAGTACACATTCAAAATCCATTAAAACATTACAGACTTCAATAAAATGTTACAGGCATAGTGTGTCTAACTGATGGTGTCTATTTTTTCGAGTCGATCTTCTTATATGTCTAAAAACTATAGTAAATTATCAAGCATTTGTACTTTAAGCAAAGTGTTTGGAATTTACTCTTTACTACAAAGTGTTTACTAAGTGTCTACTACTTAAGAAAAAAAAAACGGGGGGCAATCTCGAAGTCTCCCCATTTTGACTGGTCTCTCACTTAGCCAGAATTTTTAAAATCATAGAATCTGAAAATGGATAACTTTCTTGATTAAATATGTACTTAATCACTTTTCATTTCATTGTGTTTCGTTTTTCTTTATACAGGACAACGTCAGAATATTTAATCTCCAGCCCAGACTACCAGGGCCAACTCTAGCCCAGAGAAGGCGTCAACGAGCTCTAATGATTGATAGAGTTTCACGTTATATATTTCCTTCTACATTCGTTTTGCTAAACATCACATACTGGGTTTATTATGTAGTTTTCTAACATCCTCTTTACGAAGCTCTTTTATTTTTATTTTTTTGTCCAATAATAACTGATTATATTTCCCTAGAATTAGGATTTTAGGTTGCGGGTTTAAAAAAGTATAGTTTTGTGTGGAAAGAATCGAGGAAGTGATTGGTTATAGAGTTAGAATTAGTTATTTCACCAACGAATCTGCTTTCACTTTAAAAAAAAAAAACCTAAATCAAATTTGTTCCTAGTGGATACTCAATAAAACATTGTAGTAAAGGCACGTTACTGAAATATTTTTGGAATTATTTGAGCAGAAGTTAGTTAGTTTGAAGTTAAGCACAAAGCTGCACAATGGGCTATCTGTGCTCTGCCCACCACGAGTATCGAAACCCGGTTTCTAGCGTTGTAAGTCCACAGACATACCGCTGTGCCACTGGGGGGCTTATTTGAGCATTTATTTACAAATACAAAAACTGTTACACTATTTATCGGTACGCTAGATATAACATTGTTTATGTATTAGTCTAAAAATGTATCTGAAACTTCACTGACAACTGTAAGTTATGTATATGTGCTACTTATCCGTTTATTGAAAGTTTAAGCAATAGACACCACAAAGTTAATCTCGTTACCAGTGGAAATGCCAGGTGGTTAGGGCGCTCGACTCGCAATCTGAAGGTCGCGAGTTCGAATCCCCGACCCACCTAACATGCTCGCCCTTTCAGCCGTGGGGGCGTTATTACTTGACGGTCAATCCCACTATTCAGTGGCAAAAAATCCCCAATGAGTTGGCGGTGGGTGGTTATGACTAGCTGTCTTCCCTCTAGTCATTTCACTACTAAATTAGGGACGGCTAGCGCAGATAGCCCTCGTGTAGCTTTGCGCGAAATTCAACACAAACTAAACCTGTGAAAACTTTACACGTAATTTAAGATTATGCCTGACTGCTTTCAAAGGGGTAATTCTCCCACTTTTAATGATCTGAACTCGGGTGAAATGGGTGTTTCTCAAACAATCTAAAAGGAAAAAAATTTAAATAAGCATTGACAATTCTTAAACACCTGCAGGAGTTCGGAACTGTAAATTTGCCTCATTCTATATAGTCGGCAATTTGAGTTCCCCACAATCTGTGCCATCGGAAGAACGATACCATATTAGTAAAAAAGGCTTGTATCTATATGCATAACGTAACAAAATGTATTTCTATTCAATGTACGGTTAGAGTATAAAGTACTAACGGTTTTCTTCGCCTGATAATATTTCAAGGCAGTATACATAAGGTACTGAATCAAATAAAACATGATTAGAGCCCCACGTGGTTGGCTTCTCCCTTTTACCAGTCTTTCCGGCGCTCATGGATGTATGAATGATATTCGTTAAAAAAAGAAAAAAGTGTTAAGAGCAAAATATTTGAAATTAAAATCAAGTACTTCATGTTTATATAAAACGCATGTGTGTATGAAACTCAAATCGAATTTCAGATGAGATATTAACACTTCAAATCATCAGAAACAGCCTTAAAAAAGTTCCTTCAAGGTTTGCAGCCTGATGTTGTGTGTTGAATGAAGTCAATGCTTCGAACAGTAATGAAACTGTGTAACTTATTTTAAGCTTTGTTTGAAAGCCAGATAAATTAGAGTAGTATTAGAACATTCTATTTTAATGTGTGGTATATTTTTGTTTTAAAAGAGAGTTTATTATCTCAGCCACTTATCTCCAAAGGACTTCCTTTTAAAGAGATACGCAAAGCATGGTATGTTTCAAAACTACGAAAGATGGCTAACTCTTCAACTTAATTCTTGTTACAGTCAGAATAAAAAAAATGTCGTTAAAAACTCTTTGATCCGAAGAAGATAACAATCCTGAGCAAAAACAATTAAGGTAGATTCTTCTTTAAAAATTAGCTTTATACACTATATTTAAATATCTAACTGGATTTAACATTATCAGAAGTGAACAAAATTTATTTTAAGCTTCTTTTAAATAAAGTTTTTGGCAGTGTGTTTAAATGTTCAATAGTCTTCTGTCTGTTTAGAAACAATGCGTGCAAACCAGACAACAGCAGGAGCAGTCTATATTTTAAGTTATTTTCGTTACTAATATTATGCTAATTATAATATATCTTACTAAAAACATAAAGTGAGAAAAAAATACTAGTAATTTTAACATAACACAACATAATGTTTAGGGACCTATTGATACATCTAGTCTGTCCCATCCTCTAAATTAAACTAAAAAATAAAAACCTCAAAGCCCTTATCGTTCATATAATTATCAGCCAGCTTCACCCATAATATTTTTTTTTCAATTTTCCACCTAAACAAATTAGAACTTTCACTTACGAGTTTATTTCTGAAGTCTAGATATGTTCAGTACGTGAACGATGGTTCAAATGGCCTCTTAATATAATATGTAAAGTTTTCATACTTAAAAATTACAACAACAAAAAATTATCACCGTCAGCGAAATGTTGGAAGTGAAATGGGGCTTGATGAAGCAAATATTTTATTCTTATTTTCTGGCGAATGAGAAAAAGCAGTTGTGTAGATAACATTATATCACTAAAGAATCTACCAGACAATAATACATAATCTTTTTCTGTGTTGTTTTCATACGTATTTAAAATTATTACCCTTCACTTTGTATTCGAACACCTTGAGATTTAATAAATAAATTGTTGATGTGATACTTTGCCATAAATTTAGTACTTGTAAAGAGCGTTTTATTCCACAAATTTTTAATAAATCTTTTAATGGACCGTTTCAAACAGAACTTCTAGGTAACCCTTCTTTACAAATTGGATATATTTTTTAACCAAATACCTTATGTATTTTTAAACCAAATACTAGCTCCTCAGTGGCTCACCAGTAAGTCTGCAGGCTTACAACGCTAAAAATCGGGTTTTGATACTCGTGATGAACAGAGTTAGTCCATTGTGTAGCTTAGTGTTTTAACAACAACCAAATATTACATTTGATTGTTGTGATATAGTCTAAACGGTAATATAGTATTCTGGATAAAATAATACCTTTTAGCAAAATGTATTTATATTATTATTTTAATAATTTAAAATGAATTACTTAAAAAGTGGCTTCAAGTTATGAAATACAAATGTGATTCTTTATACCATAAATCAAGGAAAACTTTGCAATAATACAGTGATTTTCCTTAGAAATAATAAATCTTTTGAAGGTTAAATTGGCTCCATACAATGTACTTTAATAGATTCAAATCGTTTATGATTTCAAAAAGGCAAAAATAGTTTTCATGTCTTTTTTTAGTGATTTCGTAAGATTCGTCTCAATAAATTTCAAATATGCTCACGCGATGAATGAAAAAATATATTCAAACTTTTCCTTTAAACCCAAGGTCAACAAGAACCCAACGTTTTACCTTGACATTATTTTACTGTCAGGTGTTTTCCTTTTACCCTTATTCTTTATCAAAATAATTTAGATGTTAAGTTTCATTTATAAAAAAATGATGGTTTACTATTAGAATAAATTTTATATCGTTTAACAAACTAATTATTATTTTCAATAAAACATAATCTGATTCCCAATACCTTAAGAAATATATAGATTTTCAAAATACCTCAAAATTCATAATGAGTTTTAAAAGATGACAGTTATTTTGTTTATAACAATATGGGAAATGAGGTTTCAAACAAGTCTAACAAAAACAAGTCCTCCGGTGGGACAGCGGAAAGTCTACGGATTTACAACGCTAAAATCAGAGGTTCGATTACCCTCGGTGGACACAACAGATAGTCCGATGTGGCTTTGCTATAAAAACCACACGCACAACAAAAACAATATTAGTTTTATAAACAAACAAACAAAAAGATGTAACACATTTCTAACTATAGCATTCAATTTTCGATGGCTTATTCAACCTACTAAATGGCAAACAACAGCAAAATGTAATTCTGACACACAGCATCCATCGCGACTTTATTTCGGCTATGATTGTCACGTGACGCTATGAAATTATTAATGTTAATTGAGAGTTTGGATTATTCACTTGTTCGATTTCGTTACCAATTCTGGTTTGTATAAAAATAGTGTGTGAATAATCAGTGTGGAACTATTGGCAACAATGATCGAAAACACGAACACATCTTTACAATTGTACACTAAAAAAGTATGCTCGAATTATGTTCTGAACTTGTAGCTCATTACTACATTCTGGCTGTCTTCTTCTTCTGTTTACGTTATTAAGAGAATAGCGGCTGGAGTTCTAGCCGTGTACTCGATTTGACCACTCACATATCCTAGCCGCATACACAACGGTTCCCTTCGCCCGGAAAAGTCACTCGTGATAGGAGTGCTAGGTTGACTCTAGCCGATCGTCCAAGAATGAGATAAGGCGTTGCAGACTAACCCCTGCTTTAGAGAACTGTAATAATTAAGGCAAGTTGACTACGTCCTGTACAGTGGATTAACTGCGCTGTGCCCACCACAAGGATTGAGTTCCGAAGTTTACCATTATAAGCCCTAAAGCTTACTACTGCCGCAGGACTCGAAAAAATATTTCTGAATATACCTCAGACTAGTTGTGTGAGACAAAAATAAGAAACCCTATAACCCGAGCAAGGCTCCCCTCCCCCTAAAAATTGGTTTTCGATACCCGTGATGGGCACAACTCGGACAGCCCATTGTGTAGTTTTATGCTTAACTAAAACAAAAAATCCCAGCGCTTTCGAAAGATAGACCTTTCTTCATCCGTTATCAGAGGGTCGAGCACTCAGTAACTTCTACAGCTTGGTTGGTAGAATTTGCCAACTTGGAGACACATTGTCTACATGTATACCAACACACAAATTTGTCATTCCGCAAAAATGTTGATTATTTGCATATGGTTTTAGTTATTATTTACTCCCACGGTGAGCCCATATTTATGTAGGTTTTGAAGAATATGTACCACAGATGCACCCATTTCTTCTTGTTTGTTTGTTTTT